AGACCACAGTAAGAACAGGCCCAGTTCGTCACAACGGGGCCTTCTTAAACTTTTCAGACAGGATCCTGTTTTTCATGAGTTCTATAAAGAACCTGAGGATGCTGTGCAATGAATGGGGAAGTACGTTATGGTTGGGGAGATGGTTCACCTTTCTCAAAAGCATCAGGAATTGCCAACTGGACACTAGACTAGTTGGACAAATTATTTAAACTGGCGTAGTAAAAGATGGACTATCAGATTAAGACTGCTTGCCGCAGTTAGCAGGAGGTGAGGTATTGGATTAGTATCAGAACTATCTCACCCTCAACCCATCTGAGAAGGTTTTCAATCTCCTACTTCAGGTTTTCAATTGTTGAGGGGACCTATTCAGAGGCAGAAGGAGAAATCTGTTTAGGAATTATTTGTGGCATCACTTCTGACATGCCCTTAATATGGAAAACCTTCTATCATGTATGGTATACAGATATCTACTTTGGTTGTATCGTTCATGTAAGCTGCATGCTTTCTTTGTCCCTAAACAGATGTACAAAGGCAACACAGTCTTGTGCCTGTCAGCATCCGATATTGCATTTTTCTTCTTCCAGGGCAGCTCTGGCCAATTGCAGCTTGCGTAGATGGCCACAGCACACTTGTGCACTGAGCTGAGAGCCAGCAGTCGTCATGCCTGCCCTGTGTTCTTTATGCTGGCTAAGTCTAAAGTAATAGACCTCTCTCTTGCAATCAGATCCACGTAGACAGACCCCTGCATCTCTGTGCAGCCTCCTGGGCCACGAAGCTGTGCAGAGGTACAGGTCCCTGTGGATCCAAATACAGACCCAGGGCCGGCTTGTTTTTTAAAACCTAAACACTATAGGCCCTGGCTATACCCACAACCCCCCGCTTTGAGCCTCGTTCTGACCCCCATCCCCCCCCGCTACTACTCACACCTATACTCCACAAACCCGCGGCCCCGCCCCTCCCTGGGCGCCGGGGGGCGGGACGAGCCGAGTAAGAGTGGCAATGATTGGCTGAGCGGGGAGAGCCGGGTTCCTCTCCGCCAATGAAAGGTCGGGACAGTGGGGTGGCTGAAGCCGGGCCCAGGGAGAGCGAGCGGACGGGTGAGGGGCTCGGGAAGCGGAGGTGGGGGCGGGTCGGGGCCTGGGCCGGGCCAGATCTGCCGGTGATCACCGCTCTTCGGGGCGGGCCCGGGCGCTGGCGGGCCGCTCGGTGGGGGCTGGGCCGGGGCAGCCGCTTTGCCCTCAGCCGTCCCGGGGGCCGGGCGGGTCTCCACAGGGGCTGGGTGCAGCGGGGCGCCGGGGCCCGGCCGGGGAGCGAGGAGTGCCGGCCCGGCCCCCCCCGGGCGAGCCGCGGAGCCGCCGCTGGGAGTCCGCCTGGCGGGGGATTAGCTCCGTGTAGTCCAAAGAGTTCTGGAGAAACGAGCTGTTGTCTTGTCCTGTGAGAAGTCCCCGGGCGCCCTGTTCCTTGTCCTCCGTGTGCTGCTGGGGGGGGGACCTGGGGGCTAGCAGCCCCCCAGCGGCAGCCTAGAGGGGGCGGATCTCGGTTATTGTCCCCACGGTGCCTTGGAGAGGTGCGAGCGGGCCCTGGCGCAGGGGCGGGAATGGCCAGAGTGGTGCACCCCATTGGGCCGGCTCCCAGGGAGTGGCCTCGCCTACTGCCTCCTTCTGGCCCCCCGGGGTCCCCATGGAAATACCTGGCCCGGGGGAGGGGCTGGAGCATGTGCACCCCAGCTGCCAGGAGTGGGACGGTGACTGCATGGGGTGAAAGCCACCAGGGTGGGGGATGGGACAGGGCGCTGGCCGCCACCTGCCAAGGAACTACCAGCAGGATGGAAGTAGAAACTACGGGGATGTTCCTTCCCACGCTGGTGCCAGCTGCCCCTGCTCACTTTGAAACTCCCCCTCCTGTTCATCCATCTCTCCATTCACTGGTGCTTCTGCACCCCCCCCCCCCGGTTCAAGAGTCCAGGTACCCAATCCCATCAGAAGCAGGATATTCCCTTTTAAAAAATAAAATGGGATGAGCGATATTGAGATGGGCTGGCCTTTAAGAGATTGACTATTGAACTGCTCACACGTTAAGATCCAACATTTTGGTTTGGGCCCATCCCTAGAGCGGACCATGCGTTGTGTGATAAGGGACCATGGAATCAATAGTCACCAATTCATATATGTGTGTGTATGTATGTATGTATAATTTAGATCAGAAGGGATTACGATTATCCCTTTCTGTGATTATGATCCTCTAAACCAGTGGTCCCCAACCTTTTTTGTCTGGCGAGCGCCAGACGATGAGCTACCGCAGACCATGGCCGGCAGACGAGCATCCGCCGAAATGCCCCCGAGAAGCGGCAACGTCAATAGGCGTCGCCGTTGACAAGTAGCATCATCCAGAGGCGTTGCCGCCAAATTTAGGCGGCGACGCCTCTGGATGATACTGCTTGTTGGCGGCATTTCGGTGGATGCTCGTCCGCTGGCCAGTAAACGGGTGCACATAGATGCCTCGGCAGGCGCCATGGCACCCACGGGCACCACGTTGGGGACCACTGCTCTAAGCTGTCATGGCCTGTGTTAATTCAGGTCATCTCACCTTGTAAATTCTGCATGAAGCCCATAACTTCTGTTTGAGCTATAGCATATATATATATTTTTAGAAATATATCAAGTCTACAGGTCAAGACTTCAAGTGATAGAGAATCCACTGCATCCCTAGGTAAGTGGCACCAATGACTAACTACCTTCACTGTTAAAACTGTGTGCCTTATTTATAGTCTGAATTGCCTAGCTTCAACTTCCATCCACAGGATCTTGTTATGCTTTTTTCTGGTAAATTAAAGAGTCATTTATGTTCAGAAATCTCTTCCCCAGTGGTGTACTCCTAGACCATGGTCAAGTCATCTCTTGGATACGTTAAATAGATCGAGCTTCTTTAGTCTCTCGCTATAAGGCAGGCTTTCCAGACCTCACATCATTCTAGGAGCTCTCTTCTGAACCTTTTCCTGTTTTCAACATCCTCTTTAAAGTGTGGACACAAGAAATGGATACAGTCCTTCGCAATGCTGTACAGGGCTGATAACCATGCTTTAGCTCCAGCCTTTATAATAGTGTTAAATATTTTAAGTGTCTTTACTTCATAAGGGAGGTTGCACTCAGCGGCTTGCTGTGTGAAAGGGGTCACCGATACAGAAGTTTGAGAACCATTGGCCTACATTGTTTTTGTATGGTGGTAAATTTTTAATCAGAACACCAAGCAGGACTAAATCAAGCACCTTATGGCAGTCTAAAAGGTTGACACTGTTACCTCCAGGGGAAGAAGGTAACGCTTCAAAGGAAATACTAGAGAGATTGTAGAGGGAAGATACAACAGGGAAAGCCCCTTTTCTCAGAAGCTGCAGACTCAGCTCCCTTCCGTGTCTGTTACCGGTGGATTTAGCTACCCATAAAATATAAAGAAAAGACAAGATAATATGATGCAAATAAAGGTAAGTGTATTAGGGATAAAAGGTACAGAAAAACTAGGGTGAATGGGGGGGAGAAATACAAGAATAACACAGTGAAACAGCAAAACCATAAATCAGTAAAATAGTGGATCAGTGACTGACTCTGAGAGCTAGGAGCTCAGGCCCATAAAC